AAAACGAATGCGTGTGCTGAATCTGTTGGAGTCGTTGCAGAAAACTTGAAGATGCAATCACGCTCACGCAGGTGTTGAGGACGGGGTCACGAGGTTGAAGATGAAAGCAATTGGATTGGACTTGGGCTTTTTTGGAATTGGGCCTCTTGTTTTTATTTAAAAAAGGTCCAATCTAAATATCTAATATGGGATTAGTTTGTATTGAATCAGAAATCGCACCTTAAATTTCAATCGCAATTCCACAAGAAACTGACAGTGCAAACCCTATCTCTCACTACAACAAAATTGTGATTTCGCGACAAAAAAATGTTGTTATTAAAATAATTTCGCGACAACGCTGTAGGTTTTGTCGCATTATATGAGTAACGGAATGTATTCTGCGATAGAGAAAAGATATATGGAATCTAAACCTAAAAACCTCAGGGTTGGGCATTGATTGGGTGGCAGTGGTGGATTGACTAACGGTGGGTAGCACCTTCACTTTCATGGATGGCATCTAGGGAGAGCAACTTCAAACCTTTAGGGCTTTTAAGATTTTAGGGATTGTAAGATTATAGGTTGGCCGGCAGTGTGACTCAGTCGGAGATCGTAGGTGGCGACTGACATGAGTAGGAAAGCAAGTTGAGGGTTTAATTGAGTTGAGAGGTAGAAAAGGTTATGGACATTGAGAGTGATGACGTTATTTTGTAGGGCACAACATTTGGGACAGGATTTTCATATGTTTCGTATCAGTCCCCAATGTATCAATATTTATGATTTGGTTCATACTTCAAGTTGTTTGTACATGTTTGGTCATTTTCACTCCAAAGTTCAAATCTTCGACATTGACCCCAAAACTACCAAAGACTTTCATATTGGTTCCTAATCACTGTATTCGTACATTTGAGAGCTTTTGCAGCACGCATTGCACGTTGACGTATCCTTATAATCTACGTTAATATTAGATCTTAAAATATACCCATGAGCATTGAATATAATCTATTGCAACATTTTTTTTCTGTTGCAAAAAAGTATTTTTCTTGTAGCGATTTTTTCCTTCAACTATAGAATTTTTAGCAACAAATATTTTTTATCACAAAAAGTAGACTTTATTGCATCACAAGCAATTTGTTATAAGAAATAAAAGTTTGTTGCCATAAGTTTCCCACCAAAAATATTTTGGCGCCTTACTTCCCTCATATTTTTGGCGACATTTTTTATTATTTGTTGCAACTTCTCACATTTCACGACAACTTTTTACGGCGCCTTACATTATTTGGTACTTATTTTTTTAATCCCAATATTCGCGACAAACTTTAAAAATATGTCGCGTTAAGTCACTTATTACGACAATTTTTTGTATGCCGAGAAAAATCTTGTCACGAAATCACAATTTTGTTGTAATTTCTATACTCAGTACATGGGGGCACTTGAAATTTGGTGTTTAGGGATACCGCAAGCTTTAGTTTTACTCTAGAGGGAATTTCGGTCTGTTGACTAAATTACATTGATTTATGGCTTTTAGTTTCTATTCTTCAATACTTTTTTGTGTTCAGGATTTGACGAGAACACTTTGATTGCTATGTAACATGTTAAATCACTATTCTACACGTAGATTTCTTCAAAGATTGGAGATAAATCTAATTAGAATTTCTGTTTTCCTACCACCATTATACTAGATTATGAAACGATTTTTTAAACCAAAACGGAAGTCTCAACCTAGTTCTTCTATTGTTGCATCTAGTCCCGCCACTGCGTCTAGTCGAGCACATGAGTTGTTAAATAACACAAAGATTATTTTCAGATGTATCTGATTTTTACGTTTTAGTCAACGGTCAACGACCGTCCTAATCAACTTACAATTCTGGATCCGCCACTGATCTTACCCTCTATTATTTTCCATGACAGGTTTTTTGTAGATAGAGTTCCAATAAGAGTATACAAAAATGCAAACTACACGAACAATTTCTTCCCGAATGAGAAGCCTATGTATTTATTCTCAAGCATCTGGAATGCAGACGACTGGGCTACGAGAGGCGGCCTTGAGAAGACCGACTGGGAAAAGGCACCATTTGTGTCATCTTACAAGGACTTCACTGCAGATGGTTGTCAATGGGAAGACCCTTTCCCTGCCTGTGTATCCACCACCACTGATAATTGGTGGGATCAGAACAATGCCTGGCACCTTTCAGAGGACAATAAAAGGGATTATGCCTGGGTGCGAAGAAACCTGGTAATATATGATTATTGCAAGGATACTGAAAGATACCCTACTTTGCCTGAGGAGTGTTGGTTAAGTCCATGGGACTGATTCACAGTTCTGTTTTGTAATAATATCTCGAGATTGGCAGCAATAACTTGGTATAGCTATTATATGCGGCTGCATTAATAGTCGAAGCAGATTAATTCTTTGTTGCTTAGGTAATTTTTTATAATTTTGATTGGATGTGTTTCCATTGTAATGAGTTATTGCATTCATTACATCATTTTTGGCCTTACATATCTTATCATTATTTACCTGACGAGCATAACATGTCAATTTTTTGTATTGCGCCAAAATATAAATAATACGAGCTGAAGGAGAAGAAGAACAACTAACTTCTCCCCAACTAGATTATACATTTTAATTATCAGAGCTTCTTCATTTTTGGAGAAATCATTCTGAGATTCTCTACTTCTTACATCTGAAACCAAAGGTATATTCATGTTATCAGGAGAAAATGCTTAACAGATTTTCAGTTTGCTGAAAAACCAAGTTAAATCTCCTAGTTAGAAGACAGAAGAATAAGAGCTTTAAAATGTTATCATGAACTTAAAGAAAGAAGCTGCATTGCCTTGGGGTATGGCCATTGTTGCATTCGGCTGCCTACGTAGGCGAGGGGACGTTGCTGCCTTCGACTTCGTATATTGCTGACACAGCATGGGGAGGTTGGCTGGCCAAAATTAGGCAGCTTACGTGTGTGGATAAATCATTAAATAGTTAATTCAAGGGAGTAGGTACCTCGAGAACAAGTGAAAGACAAAATACTCCCCTCCTATGCACGATGCATTACATTTGTTATCGATAACTTTGGGATCTCATTTTATGAGGAACGGGAAAAAAATTAGAGATCAGATATGAACACAAAGCAAAAGAAATCTCACATTCCTATAATCCTCTACTGATGAACCATATCAGTAGATGGTATATTGAGTTTCAATGCAACAACGATATGCCCGGAAGCCCACTCAATTTATAATCTAGCAATCCACAACATATGATGCTCAAATCATGACAGAATTCTAGAAAAGAAAAAAACACATCATTTAGAATTCTACCTCAAATCTGAATAAAATCACAACCCCCGCTGTCACCGCTCCACACCTCCACCAACCATTGTGTTGTAAAAAACGCCCAAATAATTAAAGAAGAAGAGTATAAACAATATGAAGTTTTAATGGATCCCACAACAACCAAGAATATTGTGGAAGAGGAGAATTTTATTATACCAAGAAACACCAACAATTGTCTTACAAGATTTGATCTTCTCAATCTAATCTAAACAATTCTCTCTTGTTCCTAATGTATACAACCAATGATCTAAATTGTTATGATCTCTCAAGAGTCACTTAATTTCTTGTGTACCGCCTAGCGCCTAGGCGCTAGGTTGCTGTCCAATTTTCCCCTTCGCGTTTTTTCTTTCCCTTTTGCTTCCGGCTCCATCCTAGTGTTTCCAAAACTCACCCCACCAAGGAGATTATGGTGGTGGTATTTCAATATCACAAAAGGAGGAAGGTTGAAGACAAAGCAATGGTTGAATCTCAAGTTCTTCAATTTGGTTGCCTCTCAAAATCTTCACTCTATTGCGCACATGGTTTGAGAAGGAGGATGGATATATGCATTAGTTTAGGTCACAATATGGGCCAAAGTCACTCTCCTTTTCAATGGGCCAAGACTCCTCAAATGGGCCAAAACAAAAAACCAAACTAACCTTAACATGGATAAACTATCTAGAGGCTCAATGGGCTACCATATATCACCACTAAATCCAAGTCAAACCTAAGTGTATTAATTGTTTTCGAGACGAACCTGTGATATATACATTTTTAAATAGTATTTTGATAGAGAACTTGTGATTAAAAATAAGGAAAAATTTTGGGTTTGCATTTAATATTATTCTATTAAAGAATTTGTGATTAAAAAGAAAAAAAATGTATTTTGACAATAATATGGACCAAACAAGGGCTAAGTAGTATTGATGCGTTGGTACAAAATTGCATCACCCGTGGATAGTAATTTTTTGAGCAATATGTAACTGGTACTAAACTAGCAAAGGAAACAAGTTTGTGGACCACTTTATTTCATGTTTGTAGAATAAAGCGGGACCCATACCACAATTTCTTTGTTAATGGGCATGAATAATTCCTGGTGTACAAGAATTATTTTCACAGGGACCTTACAGGCCTCTCACTGTAGCGCGGGCCCACCCAAATGTAATTTTTTCAGCACACATGCGTGTTGTGGAATCTGTTTTTGTATTCAGTTTTATCACAAGGAAAAATAAGTGTGCGGGATGGTGTGGATAAATTACTCAATGGAGGGTCCCTGTGGCCGCCCATGCAGGCCATGGACCAGTGTTGGGTTGTGCCCAAAGAGGGTCTTGCCTGATAAGGCCAAAACTCCACGACTCTTTTTGGCACTCAAAACCAAGATAGATCAAACCAACAAAAAAGGTAGACAATTGCGATATATTCCACTCATCATATAAAATACAAGATTCTCCTACTTTGCCTTAGTGCTATCTGTTGTTGTCTTCAGTTTAAAGATCACGCCATTAAGAATGGTCGGCCCTTCAAAAAAAAAGTGAAAATCCGCTGAATTTGATAGAAGGCCAGTCTCCCTCATTCCTTTCTGCCTCAACTTTTCATCTTCTCTATTTTTGTTTCTTCTCATTCATTATAAGCATAAATTTACTTATAATTAGAATTTTTAAGTAAAATCAAGTCTATCAGCCCCCTTTGTATCAAAAGGTGGGGGATCATCAATTGAGATCACTCTCTTCCTCATTGAGCTTTCTCATGGATAATGTCAGATAGATTAGTAGTATAGTTCCCATGCTCGACCTGCAAGAAAACAACCATGAGTCAATAAACAAAGATCGACAATCAGTTGTCACGCCTAGTCTTGCCTAATTTAAAGCACTAATCATGCTAAACAGTTTTGCGAATTGATGACTAAATTGAAGAAATAAATATGTCATTTTTTTAACATTTCAAGTTTTTATATGAGCTGGTTTATCATGGTACTAAAATAAACTAAAGTTCTCGTCTTCACTATGTTGTTATGCCCTTGATGAAGTACAGAAGACTTTTTGTTTTAAGTTTTGGTGGCCAACCGCAAAACGTTGGTTTTCCATGGCCGACAATGACAACTAGTGATTTTGTCTAGCAAATATACCTAATTCGTTGAAAGAATAGGTAAAACTTACAGGGTTGCAAAGAAGATAAGTATCCTTCTAGGATCAATAGCCCACGAAGACGAGGAAGACCGCCGGAAACTAAACCTCTTGCCACCGTATTTTCTTTCAATAGCCGTGTTTCCCACCGTGCCATTCATGACTGTGATTTGATTATGGACTGGCAAGTTGATGGCTTGATCGACGGCTCCCAAAGTCTGTAGGACTGGCATTTCAAGCCTGCTACCCCCATGCAAAGCCTCGCCTGCAAATCTAATTGTCAGTTGTTGATGACTAAATTTAAATAAATAAATTGGTCTTCTCTACTAGAACTTTTGGATGGAGTAATCAACATGTTTAGAGTAGAAAACTTATGCATGTATGATCTCGTTAAAAACTAAATTAAAATAAATACATATATGTCGTATTAAACTCTTAGACGAGATAGTTCACCTAATGATACCTAAGCGACCTAAGTTTCCCGCTGTGTAAATGCATGTGCAGCCAAGTATAGAATATTTGGATAAAACCAAAAAGGAACGACAGTCTCTAGCCTGTGTTTGTTTCTCCAATAAATTAATAGAGCTTTGAAAAAAAGTTATGTTTGTTTTCTTTTATTAATATATGGCTAATCCCAATAATTTAAAACTCTATGTTTGTAAGTGAACATTGATGACACTAATTGATATTAAAGATTCTTTTTTAATAAAATACTTGACAAATCACAAAGCCCTAAACTTGTGTCAATCGTACAATTACTTGAGCTATATACATATGTACGTAGTTGAAACACATTTTAGCAAGATGAATGCTTAATTGTTATTACTATTATTATTATATTTGGGATGTTAATCTAGTATTTGGAGCATTATCGTATTTTAGTCGATAGACAGTTGACAAGGTCTTAATAAATGGATTCTAGATTAGATTTAGGACTTGTATTTCGCCCCTAGCTAGACTGATGTTCACAGTTCACAGATTTGACTTTAGGCATTCCCTCAACATGGTCTTAGTCTTCTCTGATCGGCCTGAATTTCTACTCTCTTATGGGCACGGACTTTACCTAATTTGGTAGGTCTTGCTTCCTAATGTTTTGCCTGTCACAAGCTCGGCCTTCTCTACACGATCTCACCATGTGTCTCATAGGCTTTGTCTTCTCTGATTGGCTCATCTTCTATCATGTGAGTCCCTTGTTTAGCTGCACTATTTTCATGATGTAACATAATATATTGTGTTGTTTTAGGGGAGGGATTTATGTTGGTTTATATATACTCATTCCATAATTTGTATCGTTAAATATACTTAATCAGGTCATTGTATACCTATTCATGGAGTTGTTTATTGACACCCAGTTTGATCCACATTCTTACAAAAAATTATTTTTTCAAAACTCATTTTCAACTATACATTCTTCCATAAAATAATATTACACGCAAATTTAAAACTTTTCTTTATTTTCTAACCACACATTTTCCATCAAATCACTATTTAAAATGTATTATCCACTCAATAATGTGCATCAAACCGAGGATATGAATGAACATGAGATCATACTTTAAAAATCAAGAATCAACAAGGAAATCAAGTTAAATTAATCGGTTTCTTCGTTAGGAAAATAAAAATAGAACTAGCTAATGGTTACCTCGCGGTGCAGTTGCAACCATGCTAGCTTTTCTAATATCGTTGCTTGTACTTTGGTTAATTTTCTTCTCGCCAACTCTAAGAGATCCTTTTCTCGAAAGGTTTCTCTGCAACTTCTTGTCCAAGAACAAGCAAATTTAACCAAAAAAAAAGAAAGGGTTTTAGCAGCTTAATATCTGCACAGAAGATTAATAAGAACACGGGAAATAACTCACTTATTTACATCAATCTTTGATGTTATTCACTAATTAAGATTTATTTTGTCTCAAAATGGCATGAACTTTAATTTTTGTTCTAATTTGGTCACCCATTAAAATTAGTTTTTCGAATAGACTGTCAAACGTGAAAGACCTTCACATTGACACCACGTTAGAAAGTCTCCTACATCATCTGTTTCATTAAAAACACTAATGGATTTCTTTCAGCATCAAGAAACCTTTGCTTTTCAGAAATTTATGTCAAAATTGAAGTTCTTAGAAGGAAAATATTTCAAGGCTAATAAAGTAGGAATTCAAGGAGATTTTGCAAGAAAAAGAAGAAGTTAAGCAGCAAATTAAACTTACTGTAATTCTTGACTTTGTATTGATGTCTTTCTCAAAGCGTTCCATGTCAATTACAAAGCTATCAGATTTAATCCCTTGCTGTTCTAATCCTTTTACATGATCACAAAACAAAACTTTTTGATTACCCTTTTCTTCAAATTCACAATTTGAGCTCAGATTATCATCAGAACCCGAATCCACCTAAAATTCAAATTAAAAATAAATGAAATTATTCTAGAGAATCTTAAGAAACCTGAATATTCAATAAAACAGTAAAATAACAGGTCAAGATTAAATTATGCATACCAACTTTGGATTTTCAGTCATTTTAATCAGCCAGTGCAATAAATAATAAGGAGATATTTGGCAGGTATCACCAACTTGTATTGCAAATCGGGATATTAATTCCAAATTTCCACCACCTGATTCAACAAAACAAACACGACCTCAGTTAGTCAACTCGCACAAAGTCCGTCATGAATTATAAGAAATCAAGAGGAAAAAACCTACACTTCGAACTGTTAAAATTCTAATAAATTTTAAGAAATCCCAGACCTTCATTCCAGAAAACGAGAAGATTTCTTCTTCTTGTTATGATCAAGGTGGAATAATCGGACTCTGCAGTTGATGGGACTGGATAGTATTAAATAAGAAAATCAAGCAAGAAGGGAAAAGAGGGCGAGTGTCACGAGTGATTACGGAGAGAAAATGAGTTTTGCGTACAAAAGACTCCTCGGAGAGGTTGGGGTCTGTTAGAGGAGTTGATGACCAAAAAGACTTCTATTTGGCACTAGTCACACTCCACGACTTTATCTGTCAAGCGTCAATTTTTCGCTTGAAAACAAAAGACACGAAGTTACCTTTTAAAATAACAATTTTATCTCCCCTTGTGCACCCCCAATCCCTCCACTCCCACATGCTTCCCAATTCTACCTTTAGACCTACAATCAACGTATGCGGTGGAGTGGGGATGGTAGATCGAGATTCTGGTAGTAGAGGAGGTGTTGTTGTGTTGTTGCGGTAAAAGATGATCGCGTGCTAATACTGAATTTTCTGTATATTTGAACCCTATTTTTTTGCTCAAAATACATTTTGGAATAGTATTTCGATGAAAAATATGTGGCTAAAAAATAAGAAATTTTTTTGGATTTATATATAATGTTATTTTATTGAAGAATGTGTGATTAAAAATAAGAGAGATGAAAATATGTTTTGAATAGCCGGGACCAACAAGGGCACAGAACGTTAAAAGTTTTAGTTACTTTTTATTATTATTATCAATATTGTCTAACCTATTTGATCATTTTGGTCAAATATGTAATAAAGATGTGATAAATATTTTTTATATTTTTAAAACTGTAATGATGTGCTTGATAGGAAAGATTTAATAGTATTGAAAATTTTCAAATTAAGGGGATGTTTAATGGATATTTTTGAGGAAAAAATGTATTTTAAATGGTGATACAATGAGAAATATGTGGTTGAAAAGTAAGGAAAAGTTATTGACGTGATGAAAAATATTATTTTATTAAAAAATGTTTGGTAGAGAATGAGTTTTGAAATAATGTATTTTGAAAGAAAATGTGCCAAATAGGGGCTTAAGAAGAGAAACCAGTCAAAATGATTTAATGGTACTGAATATTATTAAATTATTAGATGGTAATTAGAATATAGTGTCCTTACCTTTCGGTACTAGTATGAAAAACGTACACACCTTTCATTTTTTGGTATTTTCATCATTATTTCCACATTTCATTGGCCAAAAGTGTTATTTTCATCCATTTTTAACTAAAAATTGTGAAATAATGAATATACCATTCTCTTTAAATTAAAAAAAAAAAATAATAATAATTGCAATCATAGTCCCAATTTATTTAAAAAAGAGTAAATGAGTCTCAAATAAATTATTCAAAGGGTAATTAACACACAATGTCCATACATTTTACTATTATTGCGAAAACGTTCATTTTCTTTTTTTCTTTTTTACATTTTCACCATTAATTACACATTTGATTGCTCAAACCATCATTTCTATCTATTTTCATCTAATATCTAATAAAGATATATGAAATGATGAATATACCATCATATTTAAATAAAAAAAGTTACAGAATTAATTGCAACTATATTTAAAAAGTACACATGAGCCGTAAATAAATTATGGATAAAGTTACTTGTACATATTCATTTCTATCCATTTTCATCTAATATCTCATAAAGAGATATGAAATGATGAATATACCATCATATTTAAATAAAAAAAGTTACAGAATTAATTGCAACTATATTTAAAAAGTACACATGAGCCGTAAATAAATTATTATAAAAATTAGAAATTAGTTTTTTTTTTTAAAAAAAGTGCAAACGAGTCCCAAATAAATTATTAAAAATAAGAAATTAAAAAATAATAATTTTCTTTAGTTTCCTTTTTTTTTTTTTTAAATAAGAGAGTATATTTATCATTTCATAATTTTTTATTAAGATATTGGATGAAAATTGATAAAAATGATAGTTTGCGCAATCAAAGATGTAATTAAGAGTAAAAAGGCCAAAAAGTGAAAGTTATAGACGTTTTCCGCTATAATAGTGAAATGTAGGGATATTATATGCTAATTACTCTTTTAATAATTTATTTGGAACTCAATTGAAATTTTTAAAAAAATTGGGACTATGGTTGTAATTTATTTTATTTAAAAAAAATTGTATATTCTTTATTTCACAATTTTTAATTGAGAAAATAGATAAAAATGAGATTTTGTGTAATGAAATGTGGAAATAAGGGTAAAAATGCCAAGAAATTTAAGGTAATGACTTTCCACAATAACAGTGAAAAGTGGGGACGTTACGTACTAATTACCCATTATAAAACAAGAGAAGTTATGTCAAAATCTTATTTATTATATTGCCTAATCTTGTTTGGCACGTTCCCTTTTTAGTTAGATAATAATATAATGATAATTCTTTTAATTGTAATTTACTAATTCGTGTAGAAAGGAACTACTTCCTAATTCACACGCACACTCGAAAAAAATATGTAAATAACAAAATAAATACCGATGCCCGAAGTTCAAGTAAAAACAACGTTATTTCATTCTATCCTCTAATTTAAAAGTTTAAGTAAGAATAGATGAAATTATTTATTTCTGTATTTACATACATATATTTCGAGTATAGAAATGTGGATTTATCAAGACGTGATATTTATGTGTAGACAACGACAAGACGATTGAATTAAGGTAATGTAGCCAGGCCAAACGAGCATGGTCCTTGGAGAGACTAGGGATTGTGACCCTGATCTAGTACTATTGTCCTGAATATGAAGGAAATAAATATAGGCTTGTGGCTAACTACTGGAGTTTAACAGTAACACCTATTTTAGTGTTTTTTTTTTCTACAGTTGACTCTTCATGTAAGGAGATGGTTAAATTCGTTCTCATTTTGACTAATAAAAAAAAATAAAAAAAAAATTCTTGGATGAGGCGGTGGGAGAAGTGTACCATTGATCTAGACTACTCAGTGTCAACTAAAAACTTAGGATTGATTAGTTCAGTTAGAATACTTGTCGCGCATCTTGTCCCTATACAGTAATCAAGTTAGGTGACAATTTCACCAACTACGCGTTGATCAATCACGTCATTTAAAATATATTGTGTAGAATATCGACTTTAATTTATACATGATCTTCTCATGCATTATCTGTTAGTGTACATATAACATTGTTTAGTTAAGTTTGAATTTTGAAATTTATATTCTTAGCTTAGACTTCTCCTACTATTACTCTCATGTAAACTGTACAGCTATAAGATATGAATAAAGTTATTTTGTCAGAAGGATTTGACAGAAAGTTTGACATAATGGCATATGACTGTAGATGATTAGATGAAAAAATTGACTATGTTTTAAATTGTCTAATGATAGAATGTTACGTGACATTATATCAACCTTGATGTTTGTGTATCATGATTGATAAGATATATATTAGCTCCTTGATTGTTGGTACTTCGTAAGCGAGTCCGATCTTTCAAACATTCTTCCTATCAGATTTCATTAAGGGTGCGTTTGATTGCAAGTGTGGAAAATGGGTAGAAAAAAATGTTTTCAGGGAAAAGAATTGCTTAGAAAATGTTTTGCAGGGAAAATGATTTCAAGTGTGTTTGATTGGTATAATTTTCCACCCGAAAAATTTTTAAATTTTCTATTCATTTGCCTTTATTTTACATGGAAATTGTCCATTAAAGTGATATTTTTTTCCACAATTGGTTATAAAATTTGTTTCCATTGCCAAAAAGTAAAAAAAAAAAAAAAAAAAAGGAAAAAAATTGTTTACTAAAAAATCATTTTTTATCAAAATTTAGTGTTCGTTTGACTTTGTTTTACATGAAAATTGTACATTAAAGTGATTTTTTTTTTTTAACCATTAGTTATGATATTTGTTTCCATTGAAAAAATAATAATAATAAAAAAAATTCCAACCAACCGGGAAAATATTTTCTTACCAAAAAGGTGGTAAAACATTTTCATCAAAAACCCGAAAATTGCACACGTGTGGACAAAATTCGGAAAATATTTTCCTTGAAAAATTTCGCCTATAACCAAAAAAGTAGAAAGTGGAAAATATTTTCCTACTTTCTCGAACAATGTGACCTATCAAACACGGCCTAATCTTCATGTGCACTATTATAATTTCTGTGGTTGGCCTCTCCAATTTAATCATTCTTGTAACAAGACAAATTCAATAGGCCCAAATATATTGGGTTTGATAAAATACGTCTCCAGTTAGTTCACTGGGTTTCCACCCATTTAGTTTGTCAACTCTCAGGGCCTAATACGAATTTCGAAAAAAATGTTAAGAAGGCAATTCGTTAAAAGGAAAAAATTCATAATTAAGAGGTTTAGTTTCACCTATTTCAAATTTAAGAACTTAAGTTAAAATTTCAAATTTAAGATATTTTTAAATTTTATTTATAAATTAATTAATTAAACATATATTTTATTAATTAAATATATTAAGGTTACAATTCTATATAATTTGGTCACAAATTCTATATAATTAGTCACATATTATTAATTTGTCACAAATTACAAATTTTAAATATCACAAATTATTTTACGATCACAATTCAAAAAATTTATAGATCACAATTTGTTCATCGGTCACAAATAAAAAATTGAAATGTTACAAATTATTTTACGATCACAATTCAAAAATTTTATATGTCACAATTAGGGGTGGGCAAAACCTGACCGAACTCACCAAAACCGCCCAAACCGAATCAACCCGATCGGGTTGGGTCGATTTTTTTGTTGTTTTTATACGGATTGGGTCGGTTGGTTGTGTAGTTGGATCGGGTTATGAGTTATTCATAAAAATCGAATAAACCTGCCCAACGGCCCCAACCCAACCTGCTACTTAAAAAATAAAAAAATAAAAAAATAAAAGAAATAAAATGTCTAGAAAAGTAAAAGAAATCTAAAAAGTATGAGTCGATAGTGTAACTGTAATTACATCGGTATATTTTAGAGGAGAAGCTTACCGTTCTTCCCACAAAAAATGTAACATAAGTTTTTCATGTTATGTTAAATGCACTTTGTTCTTTGTAGGCTCGACTAATGAGGATTGAATAAGATAATAGATAATTTTATTTATTTATTTACTTACTATTTAATCTTATCTATTCGAATTTAGTGTAATAAAAAATTGAATGACTTTAATTTTTGTTGACAAGTCGTCCCAAACCGACCAATACAACCCGACCGATACTTGATTTGGTTGAGTTGGGTTGCTTGGGTTTCAACCTTTACACGGGTTGTGTTGGGTTTGGGTTGATGTAGAAACCGACCTAACCCAACTCAACTTATGCCCACCCCTAGCCACAATTTGTTCATCGGTCACAAATCAAAAATTTTAATTGGTCACAATTCTATACAATTTGGTCGCAATTACCGAATTAAATGGTCACAGTGGAGAGATTTATAGGTCATAAATTATTTAACGATCACAAATAAAACATTTTATAGGTCACAATTTGTTCATCGATCACAAATAAAAAAAATTATAGATTACAATTTATTTATTGTTCACAAATCACAAATTTTATAATTCATAAATTATTACATGATCACAAATTAATAAATTTTTAGATCACATATTATTTATTGGTCACATATTAACCAGATTATTGGTCACACAATCAACCCATCTAATGTGTGACCACCATAACCAATTGTGACAAGAGCCAACACCACGGTCGTTGACAACGGGTAGCACTACCGCCATGTCCACCATATCAAACAAACTAACACTCACCACCAAAAATCATCGTGATTTGAGCACCACCGTGATTAATCAAATGGAAAAACCACCACAACCGCACCACCATGAAAACTACCATGGCCGTCAGATTAACCACTACTAGCAACGCCACCACCACCCAACATCATTGCACAATCACACCACAAACACCACCAAATGCAGGGGCCTATTAGACTCCGATTGTCATCACAAACACCACCAATGGCATCAGAATCCATATTCTGCTCGCAGCTCCAACTCTCGGAGTCTCGCAAACAACACCTATCATCGATACACAACGGCGTCGAGCGACGCCGCTCTTAGATTAACATCGTCATTGGAATCTATATACCTTCCACAGATTGAAATCGCATGCCGCTCCACCTCACAGATTAATGCCGCTCCTCGCTCCACCTTGTATAGATCGAAATCTCACTCCACCTTACCTCCTACGGCTGCTCCAATGCGTAGTGTATGGTAAAGACAGAGATAATTGAGAGATATGAAGAGAGAATGGAAAGGGGAAAATGAATAGGGTCAGAGGTGAGAGATTTAGGTTTTGACTGAGAGTTCAAAACGATGGATAGATTAATTTAATTAATATTAAATTGTCTAAATTTTTATCTGATTTTTGAAAGAAAAACTTTAAAGTTTGATTTTTGAATTGGGCATTTTAAAACTCTGGTTAGGTGTAATTTCCACGGGTTAAAATTGCACTCTCTTATTTGTTTGTGGGTTGTTGGACGGGGAAATTACAAATTTGGTCTTCATTCTTTGAAGAATATATCACTTGGATCGCAATTCAATTTTTTTGACAGATAAATCCCTATATTGTCATAAATAGGCGCACAATTTTTTACTCAAGTGAAACGCCCGTTAATTATTCTATTATAAAGATCTCAACCCTTTCCATTTCGACCACTCCACTCCACGCCACCCCACCCCACCGCACCAACACTCTTCCTGTTTCCACCGGCAACCTCCCCATTTTCTGGCCCTAATTTGCGAAACAATGGGAATTTTCCTCCACATGGTATGGCGAAATTAGGGTTTTTTTTAAAAAAAATATAGATTTATTTATTTATTTATTATTATAATAATGATCACAATGAAACATATAAAATACCTTTGACATAACATATCAAGATCACTTATGCCCTTAAAAAAAGGTTGGATAAATAAGATCTGTTTGCGTTGACCTTATAACAAGATAGAACTCCCATTATTGTATAACGGTGTACTAATCTACTAACTTATGAGCTCTCATTGTTACCACCAATAATTGACATATAAATAAACTAATTTATTTCTTAATAGTAAACTTACCTTTCTTTAGAAATTAAGAGATAGATATATAATTTAATAGAACCTTTCGTCTTAGTTTCACTTCACACTTCAACAATCTTCTCTCCAACGAATTACCATGTATCATCATCTCATCGTGTCTCAAGTGATTATCTATTCGTCAATCTTCTTCATATAGGGAATGATCTGGTGATCATGTTCCATCAAGTCCCTATTGTCAAAGATTCATCTTTTACATCTTGTTCGTCTTGTTATGGCTTGATATTTCAACCCGAAAAAAATTCAATTTTGACATATCAAGTACTAGACAGAATCGAATAAAATTAAGTAAAAAAAATAACTTGTTTCCTGGTTCAACGTACTAAATATGTCCTAAAAGTCGATATTTTACCAGTAATAAATTATTTTGCAGCAATCCCAATCACGTAGTTATAATAGAGCTTTCAACTAATCTAAAAAAATTAATGTCATATTGTACACTAAATTTTATAACCATGGGGGTGGTAATATCGTGTCAATAAAGATTCATGTATTTGATTGGCTAATATATAATTAATTTTAGCCGGTAGAGTATCGGATGCTCTCAGTGTATAAATAATTAATGATTGGGGCTTAATAACAGAAATTTTAAGGTTATTTATTATTAACTGCTTAGTGCCTCTAATAATTTAAAGAAACCAAGCTTGAAGATGAGAATGAACCTCTTCAAGTTGACAAGTTGGTTTTCATCTTTTTCATATAATCAATTTCTAATGACAACCGTACAATCTCCGATAAATCCTTACGTAGCCATATGACACTTTAACAAGATTTCATTGATTTCCATCATTTGAAATGACTGTCCAAATAATATGAAAGGTTGAACACAACAATTAGTTGAGGTCTAATCTTCCTTTTTCAGGGTAGAAGAGCAAAAGACACAAGATTGTTGACCGCTTTATTCCCATTTTGAGAAGAACTCAACACGAACCAGCTTCAATATTTCAGCCCCTCTTCTTCCATGCTGCGGGCACATTTTCTTGCGAGGTCTCCTCCCCAAACTTCATTTTGGTGGGCTTCTTTTCATATTTTGTTACGTTGTGAAATATAGGTTTTATTTATAAATTTTAATGTGTTGGTATTGGAATATCCGCACGGATTACTCGGTTCCACAATTACAAGACGTTCTATTTTACCATTAAAATCAGTGGCGGAGCCACACGGGACAGGTCGGCGACAGATTGCGACATTTTGGAATTAAAAATTGGAAAATTTGTATTTCTTAATATATACAAAATAAATATACATTTTGTTGCATCGCCATTTTTTTGACCCCCAAGTAAAGATTCTAGCTCCGCCATCGGTTTGAATAATAGGTTATGAAAAGTACTATATATTACTTTTCCTTCATCTAATCTATAAAGTAATGGACCTGAGAGATACGGTGATTCGTTGAAAAACCTGCGGGTCATATAAAAAAAAAAAGGAAAAAAAAAAGGTTTAAGGATCAGCTTCTACTATATCCGTGCCATTGCGTTCTACTGAGATTTGTTCGAAGCTCTCTCGATCCGAAGTTATGGATTCTACTTTATATTAATTTGATAAGTTGTATTTCACCCTCAGCGTTACTCTTGCGTGTGCTGGAACCTATTGACTAACCATTCAATTAAGTATAAATACTATAATTTCAGATCTGCCCAATCAGATTGGATATTGCGTCTCTAATCTTGGCCCCCGCTATATCAGCCCCACCTCAGGGGCGGCTTGATGACTTGCATCAGCACATGGGTCCTAACTGTTTTTTTTAGGATTATTGTACTTGTACGTAAAAATGATACATAATGAATTACATAAAATGACGTGGATGAAAAAGATTGGATGAAAAAATTGAATATTTTTTAAACCGACAAATGGAAGATTGTCATGTAAGATTACGTAATTCTTTAAGTAAACATTTATATACATGTAGCAATGTCCTTTTTTCAATCTGTCGACCTGTTCCATTCGAATATTAAATGTTTCCCAAAATTATTTACCTCACAAGTCAACTTATGCCAGCCTCGAACGAATACACCTTCATTACAGAATACAAATTAATAATCAAGGGTAGTCCATATGTGCCATGTAACCATAATGTTTAGGCCAATGGTAACTATAAAATGGCTCCCAAATTCAACTCCAATCAGCACCAAGAAAGCATGTCTTCTTTACGTTTCTTAGTTCAACTGATTGTCCTAGGTTTTGCTTTTAATCATGCAAATGGACAAGGTTTGGAAGTAGGGTTTTACCAAAAAACATGTCCGGATCTTGAATCTAAAGTCAAAGAGGTTGTAGATCAAGTGATCTCAGTGGCACCTAGTCTTGCAGCTCCTTTGCTAAGAATGCATTTTCATGATTGTTTCATTAGGGTACATAATTTCTTGTTTATAAGGCTATATTTTCCTAGTCTTGTCCCAATTCCAGGCAAAAGCTCTAGTTTATAACATGAATATTAGTACACATGAGTGTTGAGCGTCTTTTGTTACTTTACATCATTAGCTAGTTATAGCAACGACCTGATCTCGAAGTAACAGATAAAGGATTTATTTAGATGGCTCCAAATTTATCGAGAACATGACTTAGTTTGTCGTAGCTGATCCCGTTATGCTATTGCATGCTATAAATCTTCTTCTACATTTTTCTGCAGGGCTGTGATGGATCAGTGCTTTTGGAGTCTCCAACCAATCAATCTGAAAAATATGCTATTCCCAATCTAAGCCTGAGAGGATTTCAAATTATAGATAAAGTCAAGACTGCAGTAGAAAAGGCATGCCCTATGGTGGTTTCATGTGCTGACATATTAGCTCTAGTAGCTAGGGATGTTACGGTCGCGGTAATTTTATTATATATTTATTTATTTATGTTCAAGTTTTATATATAATTCAGTATGTTGATTAGTTATGTTGAATCATCAGATAAAAGGACCCTTTTGGGAAGTTGAGACTGGGCGAAGGGATGGAAGAGTGTCTATTTTGAATGAAGCCTTGACAGGATTATTACCACCTTCTGCAAACATTAGTACCTTAAAACAAGGATTTCAGCAGAGGGGTTTAAGTGTCAAGGACCTTGTAGTGTTATCAGGTACTACTAGAATTTTCAGATTATGCATGCCAACTATACCTATGATGAGTCCTCATTCTACCTCGAAACTTTTGTTAAATAGGTAGTCACACTATTGGGATTTCCCATTGTTCGTCCTTCAGCAATCGCCTCTACAACTTCACCGGACAGAATGATACCGATCCCACATTGGATCCCAACTACATCGTCAAACTCAAAATGAAATGCAAGCCAGGAGACCAGAATTCCATTGTGGAAATGGATCCAGGAAGTGTCAGGACATATGATGAATCTTATTACACACTTGTGGCCAAAAGAAGAGGACTCTTCCAATCAGATGCAGCTCTTTTAGATGACTATGAAACAAAATCCTATCTCAAATCTCAAGCTCTTAACCATGGACCTACTTTCTTCAAGGATTTTGGTGAATCCATGGTGAAAATGGGTCGGATCGGGGTCCTTACGGGCACAACAGGGGAAATCAGAAAAGTTTGCACTGAGGTTAACTGATTTAAGAATAAATGTTTTGTCTCTTCATTGTCACATAAATGTGTGGTTTTAAGGTTTACAGTTTCCACAGATTTTCATAAAAATATGTTATTTGCATAGAGGGAATATGCAGTATGTCATTACAAGCCCAAAAAGTGTACGGTATTGTGTGAAATTCATGCATCAAATTTTGCTGCAAAATAATGTAACTGTTGGGATATGTGTCCAATAATGTTAAGACAATGTTGTAATGTTTGATATTTTGATTTGTTAATTAATAAATGTCACTCATTTATTTATTTATGTCTTTAAAGATTTGTTGCGTTTTTTGTATTTGAATGTGTGATTATGTGTATTTGATTACTTAGAGATAATATGAGTTGAGTGCTTGCATACAAAAGTACAAAAAGCTCATATTTCAATTGAGAATTAATTTATAATAGACTCGCGAAAAAAATTTGACACTCTGTTCTAATAACATTATAAAATGAGTTATTCTAATATTTGGGGTACAAAGTTCATATTATCCAAGTCGAAAGTACTTCGATAGTAATGACACTAGTACATTTTAGAGTGTCTTGGACATGATTACTGTGTATTTTTATTTCTAGAGTAATACTACATGTATATAATAGTTTACATAATGGTCTACACAATTACAAGTGGCATTGATCAAAACCTTTAATTCAAATTTGACACTTTCACATCAACCACATGATTGTTGCCACATCACATTGTGTCAAAGATTGTGTACACTTATTATGTACACTTAGCATTTTCCTTATTTCTATAGCTTGTTAGTATGAAGAAATTAAAGTTCAGAAGATTGCATTGTCACTACAAGATTTTTATGCTTTCCCTACAAATCGAATTTGCAAGGAAATGTTCTTATTTCTAGGAAAATATCTTTATAGACGAAAAAAATTTATAGGCACATGTGGGGGCAAACATCGATGAGATAGGTAAAAGACGACAAATTAATAAAATTTGTGGGTTTAAGGTTTTCCTTGCGAATCCTTTGGTTTCTCCTTGTCCTCATCATTTCAAACTCATCAATAAGAGAATTTAATGGAAAAATATCAACAATCTTCTTCTCTATACACACAAGCATGGTACTGGACAAAAAAATCTTCCATTCTATTACGCAACCTTGTCTTAATGACATTCATAGATGAAAATGCACGTTCTGTAGTTACTGTTGAACCTGGATGAGTCAAGACAAGACGAATCAATCTATCAACAAGATTATAACTCATCGATTTTCTTGTCAATGCCAATAGTTGGCACACATCTATTGGATCTGAGTTATTTATTTATTTAAGTAACTATTAGATCTTCTATTTAGGTCTAAAATTTTTGTATGGTTGAAGTTTAAAGTGTAAGTTATTGGGTTAATATTTATTAATGGAAAAAAAAAATTTCAAAATTTTGTAGGGGCGAGTCAAAATTTTTTTTTTTGGGGGCGGGAGGACGAAACTGAAAAATACATTACAAATTAACTAGGAATAATGGACCAGCGGACAATGTTGCGGGCGTCTTTGTCTGTATCTATTATTATAAATGTACCTAAAAAATATAATTTTTCATCCTCGTAAATTAGATATGCATCTAATTCTCACCAAATTTGTGCTCCTTATCAAAGTTGTTCTCTTCATCTTTAATAATATCATCTTCCTCGTTAGAATTATTCTCTATTGACAATTGTGTAAATAATAGTGGATTATTTAAATTCGTAATTGGACAGTGGTTGCAATTCTTAACCTTGAGAGTCATGTGACAATGAGTAAGATCATAGATATGGTCAAATACGGTGGTGTGTTGGGAATTCAGAGAAATTAAGGTAGTAAGCACATATTCATGTTTGGAAACAGTCACCGCATTGGATGAGTAAATAAATCTGTTTTAAGTTTTTTTTTTTTTTTTTTTGAGTTGTTTAAATATAAGCTCACTATCTCANGTTTTTTTTTTTTTTTTTTTTTGAGTTGTTTAAATATAAGCTCACTATCTCACAATAGATAAATCATTTCATAGTAAAAAAAAAAAAGAAATGTGAGTTTAAGTGAGAAAATAATATGATAAGGGTGATTATATGCTAAACTCTAATAATGTGATTAATTAGAACATTTACAACACGAATATAATTATGTAGCCGCGTTGTAGATTTGAACATAAATTTTGTATTTTTCATTTTCTACAATCCTATTTCCAACTGTATTTACTACCGTTAGCCTTGTCTTGGTTGGGTTATTGACTCAGTTCATACATTTAAGAGGAATTAATGTAATATAGTGTTTATGAATGTTTGTAAAATTATTACATCATGTGCTGAATCAATTTGTTTGTTCATGGGGAGAGGGGTGAGATGAAAACTATGTTAATAAATTTGTAATGGTTGTGTATTCGGTCATATGTCTCCTTCTAAATATGCACTTACGATTTTATTCGCAATATGTTTGATTGAAAAAGGAAAAACATGTATAAAAAACGAGAGGACTCGCCAACTGATTGCCTCTGCATGCCAATGTAACTGATATATCACAATGTCGACCCTTCGATCCCCTAATTTTATGTGTCTTCTCATTTAGTCCATTATGTTCGTTTGCTTCAGCAAGTACAATATCAGAAATAAAACTAGGAGGAGCTCCTATCCAAGTCTGAACATGAAGGTATATGAGAGCATTCGATGCAAGGGCATGTTGGCTACCCTATTGGCCTCATGCCGAACAAAATGAAACTCTAAAGACTCGAAAGAAGAAATCAGATTAGAGATACATTACAGCAAATCAACCTCCTGGGTATGAATAGGTGGATCTTGTAGTGCCATTATTGTAAGAATGGAAATTATAAGACTGTAGAGAATTAAAAACAATAATTCATATGGTGGTTCTCGTTATAAATCGTATAAATAAAATAGACATACAAGAACACACAAGATTTATAAGAGTTTGCTTCAATATGAAATCCCATTGTCTTCCAAAGGTTTTTGTTTTTTGTTTTTTGTGTTTTTTACCTTATTAAAAACATCTTCTGTCGAGGACAATATTTAAAAGAGTAAGTGTTATCTCTCGATTAGTTAATAAGATGATTAAAAAAGTATCAAAAAAAGAAAAGGAACTAGGTTTTAGTGTTTCACCCCATTTTTTAAGATTGTACATGTTTTGAAGACAATATTTAATGAAAAAGTGTGACTTCTCTCTTAGAGTTAAACTTTCAGACCAGATGATTGATAATTGTCATATTGGACGTTAATAAGAATAAGTTATAAAAATCTCAAATTCCTCGGCCGGTTACTCATTCTGAGTGCGTCCTGGATATACATACTACGTTTTTTTTTTTGTTCAAAACTAATATAATATATGCTATAAATAGTAGGGATTCTATTCTATACCTATCGTACAAGCTAACTAGCATCATATACCTTCGTCATATATAACCATTTGTTTTCTTGAATGTCAAGTAATATTACATTTATCTATCTTCGTTCCTATTTAACTTTTCTGCACATGAACAAATTATTCTTTGCTTCCAACTTGCAAAAGACTAGAAACATTCCGGCAGCAACTTATTAATGGCTACATAAATATAGCTTCTCACCAAAATGAGCTATGTTCACCAACACCATAAACAGTTTTACCTTAAACTAGCAGCCAGAAAGAGTAAAAATGAGATACCAGAATGAAATACCCATTCAATCTACAGCCGGAAACCGCCCCATGAAGCGACACCACACGGCGCGTTACTATGCCCACAGGGTGAAAGAAAGTCTAACCACCAGAGTTTCCAAGCTAATTTGTGCCATATTTTTGGCCCTTCTATTTCTTGTAGGCATTATCACATTCGTTTTATGGCTAAGCTTGCGTCCCCATCGGCCTCGATTTCACGTACGAGAATTTACAATCCCGGGTTTAGGACAAGAAAATGGGTTTGTAAATGCTCAGATAATCTTCAACGTGACAGCCCGTAATTCGAACCAGAATGTTGGGTTTTATTACGATACAATTCAGATGACAGTAAACTACCAGGATCAAAGTATAGGTGGGGAAACATTGGCACTTCCATTCTATCAAGAGCCAAAGAACACGAAGATTCTGGCCGGTATACTTGGCGGTGACTCCTTGAAAGTGACAGCCGACCGGTGGGGGCAGTTTGTGGCTGACCGGTCAAGAGGAGCGGTGGTTTTCAGCATTGAATTTTCTTCCTCCATTCGATTCAAAATATCGACATGGGAAAGTAAGCGACATAGGATACGTGCTACATGCCCAGTTGCGGTTGGTGTAGATGGGTTGATATTGGCTACTTATAAAGATAAGAAGTGTCAAGTTTATTTCATATAGTTTCCTACCTAACGATGTGGAGAATATTTGGACATGTTCAAAAACAACTTTTAACATGACCAAACATGTTCAAAATAATCAAATGCTTTTTATTTCTTGGTTGTTTATCAATGGTTTTCTGGGATTGGTTCATTTGCTATGGCTTGAGACTTTGATACCTTAATTTAGTTAGAGTCATGGTCCAAATAGTTTGTATTCTTTGTTAGAAAATAACAAAAAATTAAGTTCGTTATCTGATGCTTGAAAAATTAAAGTTGAAAGAAATATCGTAATATACATTTATTTGTCGAAATTGTCTTCAATATATTTGCTCACTTGGAGAAAGCATTTATTTTTCACCTGAAGTCTACACATGCACAATTTACATAAAAGGAAAATTGAAATTTCAGTATTCAACTTACAAGAACAAGTTGATTCTTATCCTTACAAAATAAAGGCATGCTTAGTCTCAACCAACAATTCTCATCAAATTGATGTTAAGAAATAAATAAAGAGTAATGTTATTATCATAACTATTTACCCATAAACAATGATATGGCATTAATTGACAATTGGACAACGAAAATAACATATAGGACACAGACAATCAGAATATTGTTCCGAGCAGTATTTTTCCAGTAGGTCCTTGGACTTTACGAGCTAATATGCAGATAATTTTTCAATATTTCACATGTAGTTCCTTACTTGGACGTCCGGTGGTGAATAGTAACTTGCTTTCGCTATTCATGAATCAGAAACTGTGGTGACAGAATTTGAAACTTCTGAAGCGCATACTCGAATAATTTTAAGGGAATAATTGAAAAGAACATTTTTTGCTGATACTCATAACTACTATGTCAAAGGATATGAATAACATGTAACGAAATTCTTACAGCAGGAAGCTGCCATAATCCCCAGATTCGTTGATGTTGGAATTGTGATGCCATTTGTGACATTAGCTTTCTAACTATTTATTGGGGCAATGATGAAAATGGGCCAAGCCCAAAAGCTGTTAAAATGTTTTTCTGGAAAACATTGCCCAATAACTCAGTCAAGAATCAGGCCCATAACCCGAGCCCAAAAGGAATAATCAAGTTTGTTGCTCTGGACTGTCGGATGAAGTCTGATCTAACGGTGGATGGCTTAATCTATATATACTGGTTGGCTGTTCATTATTTGATGAATTCCTTTCACCCCGTTCATTGTTTTGTGCGAGAAACTATTCTAGAGAGTTCTTCCCGCCTTTGTGTCTTCGTGTTCTGCTAAGTAATTACATACAGTTTACTACCTTTGTGGATGGATTGAAACATTTGGTTTCTAATCCTTGTTCTGTGTGATATTGCCTTTGTAGTTGAGGGTGTTTGGAGGAGTAAATCGTTTCGTTCGAATGTGTCCATTGAAGTAGCTTCTTGGATTATTTCCTTAGGGCTTTGGGTAGTTCGTGGCTGATTTGAGATTGTACAGACGGGTACAATGTCTATGTGAAAATTCTGAGCCCATTGTAACTTTCGAATTTTCTTTGTGTAAATCTGATTTCAAACATTCTTGGTGAATATATTTCTGCTTCCGTTTGGTATATTCCTTACAGTTGATATTCTTGGTGACACAGCTATTAGCTGCTAATCTAACCTGCAGCACCATTGCCATCAAGTTTGTTGGTTATCAACATTATGATATTGGACTCAAATTGCAGTCTATGTTTGTGTAGTGCCAAAAAAAAAAAAAGGGTTTATGATCATCTCTAAGCATAATATATACAATAATTTGGGTTAGGATGAACAAAAGTTGGCATTTGGCATATATATGAACTGCGAGCATCTTTAACTGCTGAATTTACCCTTTTTGACAATGCTAAAAGTGACTCTTCATGAAATCAAAAATCACTCCAAAAACACTCAAAACAACCATTCCAACCTCAATGACCCAAAGCACCAAACACTCACGAAAACCAATGCAACACAAATCAAGACCAACACAACATGATTGACTATAGTGATGAAACACACTAAAACCATAAAAAGCATGCCAAAGCCGCACCAAAAAAATATATTTATAGTGTGTTTGATGGAGATTATTAGGGAAAGAATATATTTTAAATAGTGATATAGTGGAAAATGTGTGGTTGAAAATGAAGGAAAAATTATTGATGTGATGAAAAATATTATTTTATTAAAGTGTGGTTGAAAGTGGCTCAAGCAGGGGCTTATTGAAAAATCATGCAAAAATTGATGAAAATCGATGCCAAAGATCAAAACATGTAATGCATAATAAAGAATTTCAAGCAAAATGATTAAAGTAACAAGAAAACACCAACATAAGTGCAAAATGTGAAAACACCTTAATAAAGTAAAATTTTCGAAAAATTACCTTTTGAGCTTGAAGATTTGATGAAATACTACGTACAAGGAGTGATTGGGAGTGTTTAAGAGGTGGGTAATACACAAATTTGATGTGGGTGGAAGAAATTGAGAGAAAAAAGGAAGAAAAATGCATATAACCCTAAAAATAACGTTAAAATTCAAAACATGTAATGCATTATAAAGAATCTCGAGCGAGCGTCGAGCGATAAGCGAGTGAGGCAGCTTCTGCTGCTGATGCTCGAGAGTTTCAACGATAAGCTAGCAAAAAAGCAATTGACAGAAATAACACTTCAAACCGATGATCACAACCACACATTTACTCAATAAAGTTCGAGTTAATACCCTAAATAGTCACTGAACTTTGCCAAAAGATCCCAGGAGGTCACCGAATTTCAAAATTTCTCTAATTAGTTATAGAACTTTGCAAAAAGTTCCTAAGAGGTCACTGAATTTCAAAACTACCCTAAATAGTTGTTGAACTTTGCTAAAACTTCTTAAAAGGTCACCGAACTTTGCAAATTGTAACCTCATAAATCAATGATTTAGTGACCTCCTAGGAATTTTTTGCAAAGTTGAGTGACTAATTAGGGTAATTTTGGAAAAGTTCAATGACTATTTAGGGTAGTTTCGAAATTCAGTGACCTCCTAGGAACTTTTATCAAAACTTACTGACTATTTAAGGTATAAACCCATGGAGTTCACGATGGAGTAAAGTGTATAAGTGACTCATGCGAGTAAAATGCCACTATTTTCTTGTGAAAATAATTCCAAACCTTAAATTTATGAGAAAGAATATACAAACATCACTGTTAAGTAAGTATGATCCCTACTAACGAAAGTCAAACCCAAATGTGATGTTAGGACCAGAAAACGAGTTGACAAGTTATTTGCTCTCCCTGAAGATGAACATGTAATTTTTATATCACTTTTCTCATAAATTACATCTTATGTGCAAACTCTTGTCTATTAAGCGACTAAATTGACCCATGTAATAAGCTTTAGGCCGGTTAACACAAGTCAGATGACTATAGGCACCAGGTTATGAGAAACTCTTCGGGCTTAATTGCTCGAATCAAATATGTTTCGAACAACAATATAAGATGAATCAAACGTTTTTTTTTAAACAATGTAGGGAGACTCATCACGAGCTAAGTCATCTAGATATAGGTCAATTCATGTTCGAACTAGTTGGCTTGATGAGTGAACCATCCACAAAGCCAAGTTTATTTTTGCCATTGAGAGCTTTCTTCATGGAGTGGCGCCAAGTGTGATAATTTTCAACAGTCAGTAAGGTGGAGACAAGAAGGGAGCCCGGGTGATCGGAGGAGTGAAGGAAATATGGAGAAGATACATCACCAATGAGTTGTG